CAGAAGTACAAGACTCTTGAATGAGACATACCAGACCAAGCACATGGGCAGTGATGTTACATTGGTAGTGAGCATGTTATATTAACTACTTTTAAAATATTAAGCGGAATTTTTAATTGTGGGAAGATTAAAAAAAAAAAATGAACCAGCCAGGCATGGTGGCACATACCTTTAACCCCAGCACTTGGGAGGCAGAGGTAGGCGGATCTCTGTGAGTTCAAGGCCAGCCTGGTCTACATTGGGAGTTCCAGGCCAGCTGTGGTTACAGGAAGATCCTGTCTCAAAAAGATGAAAAAAAAGATTGAACCCAAGGCTTCATTCACAAGAGGGAAGTGCTCTACCAACTGAGCCACATCCCCACATCCCCAAATCCCCAGCCATGTGGACAGATTTTAAGAGAGAAATGATGATTAGTAGCTTCATTTCTTTGAGGTCCACAAGGGCAGTATAAAATATCATTTCAGAATCAGCTACCCAGTTAGTACAATGAAACTTTTACAAATGTCAACAGGATCCTGGCCATCTCCATTACAATAATTCAACCTGTTTGCATTGCCTGATCCACAGTTAGCCTTAAATAAAGATAAGATGAAAGTCAATACATGTGTACTGAGCAAACAGAAAAATTAGGTAGACAGTAGTTAACAGTCTGGAATTTGAGGCCAAAAATAACTCTCAGGCTCTTTCCTGTTCTTAGGTATATGACCACAGACAGCATACTTACTTGACCTACTGATTAAATAGTGTAAAATAGTTTCTACCACAGAGAGTTGTTTGTTCTGAAGATTAAATGAGATGATATGCACAAAGCTTTCAGCATAAAAAGCCTTAGATAACTAGCTAGTTCTACTATTGGAGAAGCTTGCCAGGCATGGTGGTGCACACCTGCAATCTCAGTGTTGGATGTGGGTGGAGACACAGTTGACTGAGGGTTTGAGGCCAGTCTGGGCTCCATAGCAAGACCCTGTCTCAGAAAACAAAACAAAATGAAGGGGACATTTGAATTTCTTGTACTTTTATTGTATTTGTTTTTCTGTTTAGTTTTTGCAACAGGATTTCATTGTATAGCCCAGGCTGGCTTCGAATTGGCACTCCACTGCCTCTCCCTCTCAGGTGCTGGGATTATATTTTTATTTTTGCAATGCTGGGGACTGAAACCAGGACCTCATACATTAAACAAGTACTATACTACTAAGAGACATCCCTAACCTGTATTTTAAAAATTTATTTATGTCTTACAGGGCTTATATTGAATTCAATATTGTATAACTGTATTAATTCAACTGTGAACCTAGAAACTTACAGCCACTTGCGAAAGAGATGTACTCTTGCTCTGGAGTGTGTTACTGAATATGTTAAAGCTGTAATGAAATGCTTCTTCTAATCACGTAGCTATTAAAAATTTTTTTAAAAACTGGAAAAAGCAGCTGGGCGTGGTGGCGCACACTTTTAATCCTAGCACTCGGGAGGCAGAGGCAGGTGGATCTCTGTGAGTTCAAGGCCAGCCTGGTCTACATAGTGAGTTCCAGGACAACTGGGGCTACAGGGAGTCCCTGTCTCAAAAAGCCAAAAAAAAAAAAAAAAAATTAGAAAAAGATAAAAAAAATTTATTCTTTGCAACAAGCCAAAAGAGTTAATGTAAATACTGTTCTGAGTTGGGCATGGTGGCACATGCCTTTGACCCCAGCACTTGGAGACAGAGGCAGGCAGATCTTTGTGACTTCTAGCCAGCCGGGTCTACACAGTGAGTTCCAGGGCAGCTGGGGCTACAGGGAGACCCTGCCTCAAAAAGACAAAAAAAAAAAAAAAAAAAAAAAAAGGTTCTGGCTCTCTGGCTCTCTTTCTTAAAAATTATTATCTGGCAGGCACTTTACACATGTTATCTTATTCCTCACACTAATAATTGTAACACAGTAAGAGAAGCCCTGAAAAAAGTTAAAGTTTCACACCAAGTAAATCATGTACAAGGGCTGGGGATGTAGCTCAGTAGTACATGTGCTTTCCTAGCATACACAAGTCTTAGGTTCAATCCTCAGCACTCAAATGAATAAAAACAAATGAATTAATACATTTTCTCCAGGAAATCCTGTGCTGGGTTCAAGAACAGGCTGAAGTTCTAGCCAGAGGAGAACTGTCTCCTAGGAAAAGATGTCATCTTACAGGTCTGATAGCTTATCTCACAGCTAAATCTATATAAACATGTTTCCTGGCTTTGCTTTCATCTTTATAACACTGCTATAGGCAAGGCAGAAGGAAACTGAGAATTTTACTAGGCAGTTCTGGCCCAAACTAAACAAACCCATTTTCTTTCACTGATACTTATCTCTGGAGTTTTGTTGTTTTTTGTTTGTTTGTTTTTAGTAAACTATCTAGTGAGCAATAGACCTGAGATTCAGGAAACAATGATTTTTATTACCTCCATTTTACAATAAGGAAACCCAAACTGAGAGATGTTACTTTCCTTCAGGTATCCAGTGTGTATTTACTTTGTGTAAAAGTCTGTGCAGGATACTGGAAAACTGGCTAGGGATGTATATGGTAGAGTGCTTGCCTAGCATGCAGAAATCCTGAGTTTAATCATCATTACTATATAAAATGGTATGGTGAAGCATATCTCTATTACTAGCACTTAAGTGGAGATAGGAGGACCAAAGCCACCCTCAGCTATAGAATGAGTTCAAGATTAGCATGAGCTAGATGAAACCCCATCACAAACAAAACAAAACAAACAAAAAACAAAACAAAACCAGAACCAAAAAAAGATCCTGGAAAACCAACAGTGAAAAAGACAGGGTCTCTAATAAAACTTCTATTCTATTCAGGGAGCCAGAAAACACAATGACAATTTAATTACAGACTGTGGTGTTAAGAAGGAAATAAGTAAGGTCTCAACAGAAAAAGGAATATGCTTTAGAGAGGGTGGTCAGGAAAGGTCTTTTTGCTTTGTTTTGTTTTTTTTGAAACAGGGTCTCTTGTAGCTCAAGCTGGCCCTGAACTTGCTAGGTAGCCAAGGCTGATCCTCTTGCCTTCCAAATGCTGAGTGGGATTACTGGTATGTGCTACCAGCCCAACTAGGAAAAGTCTTTTTGAAATATATTTTATTTATTTTTTTAAATTTTATGTGCTTGAGTGTATTTTGTATCTAATTTAAAATACAACAGAAAGCTAGTATAAGATTAAAAAAACATGCCTGTTGTGGGATATGGTAGTACTTGCCTTTAATCCCAGAGGCAGAGGCAGAGGCAGGCGAATTTCTGTGAGATTGAGGCCAGCCTGGTCCACATAGTGAGTTCCAGGCCAGCTGGGTCTACAGAGACCTGGTCTGAAAAAGAACACCGCCCCCCAACAAAACAAAAAAACAATGGGCTGGAGAGATGGTTAACAGCAGTTAAGCTTTTCCATAGGTCCTGAGTTTGGTTCCCAGCACCCACTTCTGGAGGATCACTACCTGTAACTCCAGCTCCAGGGGAATCCAATGCCATCTTCAGGCTTCTGCAGGCACCCCAACACCCCCGCACCCCTTAAAAACAAAACCAGCCACTCCAAAACACACACACACACACACACACACACACACACACCCTTAAAAACAAAACCAGCCAGGTGTGGTAGCTTACTCTAGTAAAATTCCTGTCTAGAAAGACTGAGGCAGGAGGGTCAGTGAGGGTTCACAACACGCTGAAGCCAACCTGGGGTCTAGAATGACATTTTGTCTTAAGAAAAAACCAAAACAAAAATATTAAAAAGCAAGTGAAGGGCTGGAGATAGGGTTCAGTGGTGAAAGAGCACTAGGTGCTCTTGTAGAGGACCTGGGTTCCAATCCCAGCACCCAAACTAACTACCCTCTGTAACTCCAGTTCCGGGGAATCTGATGCCCTCTACTGACTTCCTCTGACATTACACAACATGGGTGCACTTAGTGTATGCATGCAATACACTCATGCACATAAAAATATTTTTAAGAAGCAAATGAAGATCATGATCTGATTTTTTTCATTTGTTTTGAGACAGAGATTCATGTAGTCCCTCAGGGTAGCTTCGAAATCTTGAACCACTGATTCTACAGCCTCTGTCTTAGAAGCCTGTGGTTTGGTTTGCTTTTTAAAGGGCATTTGCTGAGTGAATGCAATACGGGGAAGGGAAAAAGAGTAGAAGTAGGAAAAGTTAAGAAAGCTGATTAAAGTCCTTCAGGTTAGAGATAACAAGGCTTGGAGTACGGTGGTTAGGCTAGACTTGGGCGAGTCAAAGGTCTACGTGAGAAAGAGCAGGGTGGAGGCAAGGATAAAGAACTTCGTTCTGAGGTCCACCTTGAGATACCAATGCGTATCTGCGCACAGCTGGCTGTCCGTAGCGGAGGGTCAGGGCGGGGGGG